ATGTGTGCTGGTATTTATGGCAGGAAAGAGGTTTTACCTTGTGATTTATCTGCTTCATCGGGTAAAAATATTATAAAATCTCTCTAAAATGTTGTTAATAACTATTTAGGTTAGACTAGACTACATTTCAAATGCAAAAAACATCATTATCATGTATTCAACATTTAGTAAGACTTTCTATCAGCACCTTACCTCTGACTTCCAGTGTCCCCCAGTGTAGTAGATTGTGTACTTAAAGGTAAAAGATCTGAATTCTTCCTCCACCACTGTTAAAATTTACATTTCTGGGTCAGTTTTGTTGTTTAATCATATTTTTTTATTATTTACATCGCAGGTCTAACATGTCTGGTGCAGACAATAATGTTAAGTTTTGTATCAGAAAATCTTCCAGCAACCTGAAACCTAAAAATCTGTGTGAGGATTTGATGTAAAACACCAACTGCTTTTGTACTGATGTATCAAGACACTCAGCAGTGATTATTTGGGGAGAAATTGATCATACAGCAGAAAAAAAAGGTGAATATTGCTCTTATATTCATTAATTTGACAGCAGCTGCTAGTTAGTTAAGTTTTCAGATAAATATTTTACAGATAAAACATCCAGTAAGATCAGTATATTCTTGCTTACACCTCAATAACAATAATAAGTAATAATACACTATTCAGAAAGGGGCCATTCTGGATTGTGAGTATTCTACTTTTGGTGCTTTCAGAAACACTGAAAACAGGAGCTTCACTTGCTGTTAAGTATTTAGTTTTGTGTGTTATTGCCTTCTTTTTAAGGAATAACCGACTGTCTCTTAGTGTGCCATCACTTTGCCATCGCCCCCGCAGCTTAGAACAATGTATTCATAAGGTCATTCTGAAGAAATGCAGGAAAATCACTGGTTGCAGTTCAGGTCTCAGAGAGAGGCTGCAGTAAAGTAGCTTTCAAGAAAACATAAACAGCACTTCATCACAAAGCAAACACTGAGTCATGACTCTGAACATCAGAAAATTATGATATATGTGACAGCGAGGGCACGGAGGAGGTTGAGTGTTCCCAGAAGGAGTCGCTAACCTCAAATTATTTATTAGTTTGCATTTATTAAAGCTTCAACCTAAACAAACCTCGCAGCTAGATGAGAAGTTAAGATAATAACGGAGTACGCAGCTTTAATTGAATCTTATTAAGTAAAACTGATCACAGACAACATTCCTCCTCATCAAGTCACTTACTCTCTCTGAGTGCAGACACAGCCGGCTCATCCTAAGAAGTCCATTGTGCTGTGAAACACAGAGGCGGCTGTCTGCTGCAGGACCAGAGGAATGAAGTCCCGATGACCTTTGACCTCTTAGGTGTAGGGCATGTTTGCTGTTTGTTTGGGAATTTTTCCCAACCTTCCCCCCCCCCCCGCCCGCTTTGAGGAAACTTTCTTCAAGAGGCACAAACAGTTCCCTTTCAAATAAAGATAGATGCACGAGCTTGGCCTCCTGTCTTTTGAGCGTTGCTGTAAAAACTTTCGGATGTAATTTTTTACCCCCCCGTAAAAATAAAGACCATATTTTACACATTATTTCAGTTCTTTTTATGGATGAGGAACGGCATTATGTTGCATTATCATTTGGAGATTTCCTTCCTGCATTTTGCTAATGGTGGTGATATAAGTTTTTTATGGGAACACCCATTAAAAATTACCTTTCAAATTGGCAAGTTAATGAGCCCGCATTATCCTTCTTTTTTCAATTTTGAAATGTAAAAAATTGTTTGCTTAAAAGGCTGGTTGCACTTAAAATTAAATTTGTAAGCTTCTTGGTTCCATTTGTCTTGCCTTTCCAAATGTCACATATCAAATGTCTATGATTGATGCACTACTTGATGCTACTTACCTGGTAATTACTAGAAAACTAGACAGTAACAAGATGTAGTTATTAGGAAAGAGCTGGATACTAAGTACAACATTATTACTTAGTAAGTAGATGGAAACCTACCAGGAAACTAGATAGTAAGGAAGTCTAAGTATTGATGATATGAGATATAGGAACTGGCCAAAATAAAGCCATTTATATATCATATGTACTAAATTATTACTTACTAGTATATGTTTAATATACAAAAAGTAATAATTTAGTTTTGGGAAAGAACATGTTACCTTTAAATCGAACCATCTAAGAGCATGAAGCTTCAACATTACATAAAACTCATCGTTAGGCCACAATAGGATGCAGTCGGATTGGCAGTTTATGGTTTATAAAGTTAAGTAATAGGACTTCATTAATGTGTTGAAGGAACAATGAAACTTATGGTTTCTTTGATGGTGTTTGGAGGGGCTGCGAGTTGAGCAGCTGCTAACGTTAGCTCAGCTTGATACTTTAAGACGCCCAATGACTGGAATCCTTTGTCTGGTTAAAATATATTGTTTAAAAACAACCAACATCCAAAAAGTTTATCATAAAAATGTAGATTAAAAGGCAATTAAATAATATTATATGATAGGCGACCGGTGAAATACAGAATTACAGAAATAAAAATACAGATTATTTGTACTTGTACTTGTTCTACCAACATCATTTTCATTGTGCAAAACTACACAGAATAAACCAACAGGAGGTTAATTCACTTGTGTGCAGTTTAAAACATGAACATCACCCAAAACTGGAGTTACAAGGTTTTAATGCGACTACAGCATATACGGCTGTATGTGTCTAAATTCCAAAAGAGCCGATCTGCCCGCAGCCACCACAATAAGACACTAAAAAGCCCACTTAAGCAGAGGCACCTTTAGAGTGCATGGAAAGTGCATCCATGTAAATATTGAACACACACACAGTTTGGATTTCACTCGCGGATCAATATTGAAGCAATCTGGACGTTAATCTCATTTGCACTCCTGTTTTTCTTCTTGGCAGAAGCTGCTGCAGACCGGCAGTGTGGGGATCTCCAGTGAAATTACAACAAATTCAACATTTATAAAAGATTTCCAGGAATTCATTCACATGAATATTCTACGCTGGCAGGGTTTCTGTGCTATTAGATGTCAGAGAGATAATCAATACTCTATTTATCCACATAATTTTCTTCTATTTGCAAGTATTTCTCTGACAGACTAGACAGAAAGGACCGTTTCTGGGAAAATAAAAATCAATCTGCTGCTGAGGACTGTGTGATTTAGTCGAGAGCTCCACGAAAAGTAATTGAGGTTATTTGTCAGCTGTTGCTTTCTGATGAGTCCTTTTTTATTAAAATATCTAATTTTATTTTAATGGAATTGTAGAACAAATGTACCATAAAATATTTATAATATCTAACAAATCTAAGAAATGAGTCCTGCAATGTTCAGGCAAACAAACCATTGTGAGTATAGACTCTTGTTTCAGTATGAATTCAACTTTCCTGCCTGCTGAAGTAACTAATAAAATGCCTAGTTTGAGACTCACTGTCACAACCTTGAAACTATAAAAATATACAATTTCACAAAACAATGCTCATTTGGAGACCTTAAACAAACAAGCATTAACGTGAGGCAGGATCAGGGGCGTTTCCAGACTTTATTGCCTGGGGTGGCACAAGTGGGGCGCTGACTTATACGCAGGGTGGCATTAAATATGTGTCGCAGCTTTTCCAGTCATTTATGCAAATTCCAGTCCTGTTTATGGACCCCAGTCTGCAGAAATATTCAAATACACATTTATACCACATGCAAAAACTGCAAAGGGAAGAATTGTGGGTACCCATAGAACATATTTTCATTCAGATATCTTGAGGTCAGAGGTCAAGGGATCATTGTAAGGTCGTCTAGTTTTATATGACACCAGTATCTTCAGTCTAGCTTTAAAACAGAGCCTGTTACAGCGTCCAAAAGACAGTGGAAGAGGTAGAGATAAAGCAGGGGGGGCCAGGCCGCCACTCCCACCGCCCTGGAAACGCCCCTGGTCAGGATCAACCTGGCCTGAACCTTCACTGTGTGTTCTGTAAAACTGCTGTGTCCATTTGGCCCAGGGAAACGTATCAATAACTCCCTCTCAAGAATCGGATGAATAATGGATCAAAGACAAACGTTACTTAAGATTCACATTCATCTGAGGGATTAGATCAGCAGGTCTGGACTTCAAACGGCAGAAACAAATCGAGAGCTGACATGTTTTGAGGTTGGTTATTGATTATGGCTGGCTGCAGTTCAGAGCCTCATGGGTGACTCTCTGACTGCTCCCACATGACCGCTGCGGCAGAGTATCCAGCCGGTCTGGATTACCAGGGAAAAGTGACGCTTCGGGGCAGAGGTTGGCAGGCTAGGATGTTGATGATCTCTCAAAGTCAGCTTTTCCCTCAGCAGCATTCAGCTGTTTATTTTTCTTATTTTCATAAACTGAATCCATTTTGGTGATTAGGCCAAGCGATGATTCATCACATCACAAGCAGGACCTTTTGCTGCATAAAGTTGCCCCTGTGTTTTAAAACCTGGAGGTTGAGGAGGGTCATTTGGCTCGGGCCCTGACGACTCCCATCATACATTGCTTTCCTCCTGCCTAATGCACTTCCTAGGAAACAACTGCATGGATTATTTTCTTGTCAATAAAGTTGTTAAATATGAGGCACGGATGATTGATCGGTTTTAATCATACTGTATATATTAATGCCCCAGTTCGAACTTGGCTGCTCCTCCTCATCTTATACACAGCAAGTAAACATGAGGTCAGCGCTCCTTGGCTTGTTTGTCAATGCAGTTTTTTTTAATAGTGGTAATAAATAACCTCAAGTGGAGTTTTTAAAGTGTTTTTGATATCTGGGAAATAAGAGGAAACCCAGTTACAGTAATTTCAATATTTATATTTTCCCTTCGCTGCATTATTTTTAGATTTAGTGGTTAATGGTTACTGCTGCGTTTACACCCTTTACAGCAATCAGGACTATTAAAAACATATATTTTCTCTTTAATCAGATCATATGTGTCCCAATAATATGCATAAAACCAATCTGTGATGTTACTCTAAAGAAGAGCCTTAATGGAAATGAACTTTTAAAATGAGGAAAAAATTATACCCAGACTCCAGACATTTCTGTGTTTACTGGCTCATGCTTCTTTCCATTATTTTCAAATTAAGCTCAAGTAAATGTTATGTGAGTCAGCACAAGTTCTCTGTATAAGGTGGCACTTCAAATTTAAACGACTCATTAATGACTCAAACCACAAAATGAGTCAGATAACGAGATGAATGCATACGAGTAACATCCGCCACTACCTACATCCGTGGCATGTATAGACTGAAAATCTACAGACACTTTGTGAGTGAGACTGTGCTTGAGGTCAGCGCTAACATCAGCATGCTAACGTGCACACAGTGAGGATGCTAACTTGCTGATGTTTACCATGTTCAGCACTTTGGTTTAGTGGCTCTCAAACTGTGGGGCTCGTAGAGACACTGCAGGTGGGACGCAGATGACTGGGGCAAAAATATGGAGTCGAACAAAGCTGAATGAATTACTTATTTAAATAAAGAGTTTGCTGATGTTAATGTGCTGACCTTTATTTTACTACAATTCTACTTGGATCCTTTTTTTGAAATCATTGTTAATAATTTCTAAAAATTATGGGGTGTTTTGGGCTTCTGAAGGGGGGGCATCCCAGAAAAAGTTTGAGAACCACAAATGTGAACCATACGCTGTAGAGAAAAGTCATCAAAGTAATTCAGATTAATCCTCTGAGAACCTTGAACGTCTGTGCAAATGTTTGTGTCAAATTCTCCAGTAAATACTGAGATATTTGCACTTTGCCACTCTGGGGGTACTACAGAAACAGTCATTGGATCACCAAAGTCATTAGGATTCATCCTTCATGCATATCTGTACCACATTTCATGGCAATCCATCACAATCAATAATTGTTGAGACATTTCAGTTAAAGCCAAAAATGTCAACCATTCAAAAGTGCTCTACAGGCTCAATTGACCTTGATTTTGGAGCAAGATTAAACGATCTCAGTGACTTTATCCTGTGATGTGTGAAGTATCCAGATGGGAGTGGTCTTGTGAATGATATGATATCACAATCAATAGATCACAACCCAGTTGAATGCCTATTGGGTCGTTGAGGACAGATATGGACACTTGGACTTGGCAATGGACAATAATTAGTTAGTTTTAAAGGTCCAGCGTATAACATGTAGGAGGATCTATTGGCAGAGATGTAAGATTACCTTTATATGTATGTTTTCATTAGTGTATAATCACCTGAAAATAGGAATTGTTATGTTTTTGTTACCTCAGAATAAGGCGTTTATATCTAAAGACGCTGTAAGTAGCCTTCCGTTGAGACTTCCATGTTGAATCGGCATGTTTCTACAGTAGCCTGGAAGTGTCAAACCAAACACTGGCTCTAGATAAATGCACAGCCACCGTAGTAAACTCTACACACTGGTCCTTTAACAGAAGATTATATAAAGAGCAAGGACACTATCATGGCCAACACATTAAAGTCATATACCCCACCAATCACCTGCAGGAGACATTATTCTTATTGCTTGTTGTCTTCAAAGATAAATTCAGAGGTCAGACTCGGTTGCAAAGCAGGAACCATGCAGCTAAAAGGGTTTAGTGTTGTGCTCAAAGAAACTTTGGTCGCGTTATCCCGCTGACATCTGACCCCACAATGATGCAAAACAACTTACAATGTCCCCAACATTTTGGAGGGACTTTCACAAACAGATCTGAGCTTTTTGGGGTTGAGGTTTGAGTTGTGATACATGTTCTGTTTACTCAGCGTACAACTGGATTAAATGTAATCAGAGAAGATGTTTTTGCTACAATGTTCTTAATTATTTCAAGAAAACATTTTTGGTTTAAAATCATTTTTCCAGCCTGCAAGGAGAAATCTGACAGGCCTGTTTTGTGGTAACAGGGATTATATTGAAGTGGATGTGCTGCTCTGTGCAGGCCGGTTTCAAACCAGTGGGTGTCGCTGTTTCTCTCCAATGAACAGCTGGACAACAGACCTGAGGAGATGATCAGTGAAAGTCTCATGATATTTATGAAATCTTCCTGGAAGTGCTTATTGAATGTCTGTTGGCTTAAACATACAGACTAAATACTGAAACCCGAGAACCTATTTTTAGTGAAAATCACACAAGAGCTGTGGGTTTGGGATACGTTATCTTGTAATACTTGTGGTATTTGCATCCACCTCCGCGTCCCACCTCTTGCTTCCAATTATCACAGGGGGCTGGACCGGTTACCAGGCGAAGACTTCTGGTTGGTTGAGCCAGGTGTCAATCACAGGCTCGTCCTGTAGCCTCCTGTTCAATCCACACCAGAAGTCAGAAAGTCAAATTTCACCAAGAGGACTAAACGGGAAGAGTAAATTATCCGGTCATTCTGAGGGCTCCTATCATGCTTCACAGAGAAGAAGTGAAACTAGATCTTCTTGTTTTTTTGAACGTTTCACGTTAATGTGGTTTTGTAGTTAGAAAAAGGAGGTTAATTGGACTTGAGGACTTGTTGGCTCCTTTCTCCGGCATTTTTACGCGCTGTGCCAGCGCAGCTGTATGCGCACCTGAGTCCGTTGCTCCGTTTGTGCAGCGTCAACATGACTTTAATGCATCTGAGCAACTAAAACTATAATGTGTGACAGTGCTTACCGGTGACATGCCTGCTGTGGTGAACCTTGGTAAATGCGCAACCTTTCACTGTGGAATACCCACCGGAGTCCAGGTGTCATCAGGGAGAGCTGATGTGGCCGTTTGGAGGAGCGCACCAGTTTGATGTCAGCGGGGATTTGACAAAGCGCAGGAGTTTGGGATGCAAGAGAAACCTTAGAGAGACAATCCTCGGCTATTTTTACCTGGATTCAACACAGGATGCCCGGAGCCATGGCCTCTGAGGTGGCGTGCGGGCTGGTCTTCAGGTTACTGCTGCCAGTGTGTCTTGCAGCCGGTGAGGTTTTTTCTTTAATCCCCAGTTTCACGCATCTCAATTGGCCTCTGTGTGCGCCATGTGGGGTTGGGTGATTGATTAATTAACAGTTTGTCTAATAGTTCATCTGATATTATCCTATAAATCAGTTTATTGTATTTAAATGTAACGTTCAAGGAAGGCTGGAGCTCATATTTAACATTGAAATAGTCATAAAAATGTGTGACATTAATTAAAAATCTGAGGTAAATTAGTATAAACCTAAAATAAATGTATAAACAGAATCTTATGAGTTGAAACTGAATTGCTCTTTATATTAATTTGTGATTGACCTCATGATGCTGGAGGTCACAGTTCACTGCTCATCACTGCTGAGGTCTGTGCTCTAACACTGGGCACAAACAAGAAGCAATAGACTGCACAGTCACACATCAGCCATTAAATATAAATTACAAACCAGAACAGTGGTGTGCCAGCACTGTTCCTCACCTGGCTGTCACCTTTTATTGGATTTAGTAAAGGAAACACAGCCGACAACAGAGCGTCCAGTCACTGCAGAGTGTGCGTCGAAAAGCAACCTTTTTGGAGTCTATGTCTAGGTTTGTATGACTAGAAATGTTTAAACAGACACGTATTAAGAGTTTTTCTTAAAATAAGCAAATTACAAACCAGTTTATGTCAGTATAAAACTATTCCCTACTGTTTTGTTGCTTGTGTGGCTCAAACAGAGTGTTATTATAGCATTAAACATTAATTTCTAGTGTAAACTTTGGTTATTAATGAATCATCTGTGTTATTGATTAATTAGCTTGCATCAAATGTACATCTGTATCGTTAATACTGTTAATTAACATTTATACTGACAGTGTTAAGAGCTACGTGTCCTGTGTTGTTGCACATTCCTCTGAGTTCTAGTCAGCGGTGGAGGTTTCTGGTTTGTTTACAGCATTTATAACTTTGTTAAGAGAAGCGCTCCACAAAGTTATAAATGCTGCATTTTGTTTTAATCACCGTTTTGCTATGCAAAGTTTTGAAGATGACTTATAGTCAAAACTTGGCAGTTTATTTGGACTTTGTAAAACAGACTGGAAAAATCTCATCTTTGCTCAGATATTACTGGTTTTCACACACCTTAAAAACCCTGATGTTAGTGGAGGTCGAGGTATGGTCACACCTTGGATGCAGAACCTATTAAATGCAGTTTACTCTGTGTTTTAATTCTGTGGTTGGCCACAAGTGAAACATGATTAGTGTCAAACTGCCACTGTGGTTCCACTGTGGTGTCTGCGTAAGACTTATAGGGCTGAGGTACTTTTAAAGCTAACAGCATGCTTTCTATAGATAAGACCCACTCAGTGCCGCCATAATGCATCACTTGACAGCCCGACGTACCCCCCCCTTTTATTTCCAAAAGCAATTGTGAGGCCATGCATTGTCTCCATTAATTCGTGGAAAGTCGTTTTAACAGTATGAATTAATAATGTGGTTTGCGAGGGAGAGAAGAATTGCCTTCCCTTTTATCGTAAACATACCTTTAATATTTTATGTTTTTTCAAAGTGCAAATGAGCACTTGTCATTCACTGCGGCTGCACACAGTAACGGACAGGATGGAGGAAATGTAAAGTGGAAAGAAAAGAGGTGAAGGTGTACAGGAACAGATGGCGTTAAGAGGGGGAGAGTGGATGAGAGAAGGTATTTCTGTCATCAGCATCACCTGAAGACTAAGACCTGTTTGACAGTCAAAAGATCTTAATTAAAACTGAACGGTGTAAATCAATAACCATCAACCCATCAGCTCACAAACAGTATAAAGCAGCACAGATGGCTGGAAGATCATTTTATGTTTTATTTCTTCTCCGTCTTGCAGCCGATGTTATCTGACTCCAAACACCTACATTTAAACCTTTACTGCACATGTCCAGTATTGTAACATCTCGTGTCCCAGTGTCTGCTGACGTTACATAGTCTGTGTTTCCTGTTGGCCATCTGACAGCACCTCTATTGAAAAGCACAGAACTGCTGGGCCCATGTGTACACAGTCCCCCTACCACACACACACACACACACACACACATTTGCACACAGCTACAGTTTTGCTGATCAAACAGGCCCACCGCTGTTTATGTGTTTACTGAGTTTGGAGTGTGAACATGATTATGAGCATGCACTTGTCTGATATCTGATATAAAACATGTACAGACGGTGCAGCAGGTTGGATGTGTTGAGGGGGGCAGGAGAAGGATAAAGCGCCGGAGGGTGAAGTGCAGAGATACATAGCTTAGACGGCGGTACAACCAAAAATTTGAATCACAGTAATTTTTTAAGATTTTG